TGCCCTCAGATCCATACTGGCGGGACAGGATCACCTGAAACCCCCAAAAAGATAAGCAAATGAGAACAACGAAATACAAACATGCTTGACTTTTATTGCTCGCAAGACCTTTAATCAGACAGACCTTCTCATCGGGATCTTTCACTTCCACAAACATCCCAAGTCCTTGAGTTGCAGGCAAATACTCTTCTTTCTGCTTGTCATAGAGCTGCGTTCGGTAGTTACCTGGTTAAGACAGATTTACATCGTTGTAAGAAAAGAAATTGAAGTCATTTCATAATAATCCACTGACAAGAATACCTGACTAAACACAGTAAGTCATTATCATAGAGTGAGAAGTCATGTCATATTCACTTGGTGTTGTGTCACTGCATTCAGGACATTTCAACATCAGATTCTTGTCTCATAATTCATCTCTTCATCTAATTTAGCCAAAGTCCAGCAGGGGATCACTATGGCGTTACCTTAAAAACTCCATTCAGTGTTTAAAAAAAAGCGTATTAGTTAATACTGTTGCTTTCTCGGTGCAGTATGCATCTACACGTCTATTTAAATGCTATTTTGTCTAGGTTACGGTAAGACCTACAAAAAAAGCTCATTTGTAACTTATATGTTGTTTAGTTGAACTAGCTGAAGTCAAGCTGGTTGCCAAAGAATGAACTCTACCTGACAAACCTGCTAGTTAGCACTAGGCTAAGCATTAACGTGCACTACAAAGTTGGCTTATTCCGTTTTTCCTAACGTTACTTGCCTATTATCATGGTTTCGTCCGGTATTTCTTCTATGAAGCATTTCTTTTCAGTCTCGCCGATATGAAAATACAACGCAGACACAAAACTGTTGTAAATGTTTAACAACAACACCAAATAAAGTGTAAACTGCATTCTGACTGCCGCCATCTTGACACTGCCGGTGAAACGCGCACTGCGCATGCGCAGCGACTCAATGCCACGTAACCCATCGCCGGGCCATCGTCCAATCAGAAGCGGAAAGCGCTTTCCCCAGATTGCTCATTGGTCGTTGTAGTTTTATTCAGTGGTGGGGATTTTGATTCAACCGAGTGAACCGAATCTTTTGCAACTTTAAAAATTATTTATTTAGTTATAAATGGCCGTTACACCAAAAAGCCCCTGCCATCCGAACATAACTCGGTAAAACTTCACATTCTTCATACAACGTTAGAGCGTTCAAAAACATTTTTCATGACTATAACAAATCCACTTTTATTGGCCTTATAGGAAAACTACGTTTAGATACACGAGCTTACGACTTTAAGAATACATGAGTTTAAGAATTAATTTGCTTGATTTAATTTTCATATTTACTATGTTGTTGCATATTTCGGGTGTCAATCAGAAAGTAAAACACATGTAAATGATAACAAAACGGCTGACCAAACTGGGACAGTTTTTTTTATCACTATAGGAACAAAATTAAAATCATAAGCACTATTATATCTTCAAAAAGAACAGGGACTTTGGAAAATGTAATTTTAAGTACAACACTAAAAAATAATCAATAAAAATATACAATACTAATTAATAAAATAATGAATAATAATAATAATATAGAATTAAACTAAATTGTAAACTCAGTTTTATCTGTGACATGGACAGGAAAAGCGATATAAATCGCTACATGAACCTTTTTTTCATATAAACTGGAATAAATACAAAACTAGAGCCAAACTAAA